ATGGGCACAGTGGTTTTGAGGACCAAATGAGATAATAATTGTCTGGAACATAGTCATTGCTATGTAAATGTTATTATTATTATTATTATTATTAATATGCACCTATTATGTGCCAGGAACTTTGCTAAGTGCTATGAATACAAAGGTAAAAATAAAATAGTATCTACCCTAAAGCAGCTTACATTCTAAAGGAAGCAATACATCTTCTTATAAATAAATGCAAAATGTATACAGAGTAAATTCAAAGTAATGAGGAAGGAGCCTAGCAAGTGGGAAAAAATAGGAAAGGCTTTCTAGAGGAGGTGGATAGAGATTCAAAGAGGCAAAAATGAAGGAGAATGTTCCATGCACAGAATCTGGAGATGGAATGTTGTCAAGCACTAGTGACTAGGACAGTTGGCTGGAATATAGATAGAGTGCATGAGAAGAAATAATATATAATAAGCCTGGAAAGGTAGACTGGAGAAATACTGCGACTTTAATCGATGCACTGGAGGTCAGATATATAGCCAGGTAGACATAGACATATGTGCGCATGCACCTACATGTATAGGTACACATGTACATGCATGTACACACATAAACATATAGCAGATAGGGAGGCTGCTTGGACATCATACTTTGCATATATAATGTCTGCTAAATGAAATGATGCAAATAAATGTGTCATAATTTAGAGTATAGTGCTGAGAACCTTTTGTTGTAGTTGTTGTTGTTGTCTGGTCATTTCAGTTGTGTCTAACCTTTCATGACCCCATTTGGGTCATGACCCCATTTTTCTTGGCAAAGATACTAGAGTGGTTTGCCATTTCCTTTGCCAGCTCATTTTTACAAATGAGGAAACTGAGGTAAACAGAGTAACATGACTTGGCCAGGGTCACACAGCTAATAAGTGCCTGAGGGCAGATTTGAACTCAGGAAAATGAGTCCTCCTGACTTTAGGCCTAGCATTCTATCCATGTAACACCTAGCTACTGAGAAGCTACCTCCTTTAAAAAAAAAAATCTTTGCCCCAAGCATTCCTGGATGGTTAAACTCATGTACCTTTTATATGAAAAAAAGGAGATTCAAACTCAGTCTATTCTACTCTTTCCATGGTAGAGAAGTTAGAATTTTGAAAAAGATAGGTTGGGGTAGTCTTTGGTTCAGAGGTTAGAAAAACTTCATTCGTTTCCTCCCTTTTTCTCATTCTTCTCTCTTCTTGCTTCTCTTTTTCTAATCCCTATCTATTTAGAGGAAGGAGTATGAGGTAGCAGCAGAAGTCTGTGCTATGAATGTGAACAGAGATTGTCCTCTCTGGAAGTTTCAACTTCCTTTCAACTCTGATAAAACCAGTTTCTCCATGTTTCACTTTAGGTTGAATGAATTCTTTCAAAATCTTTTCTTTCCCTTCCTCCATCAGAATGCCCCAGGTATGAACTTTATGCTTTTATATCTTTGTGGATGCCTGTGGCATCTTCATGCCATCTTGGGAGATCTTTCTTTTCTTACTTAGAAGGGAAACAGTCAGGCCAACCGAGTGGCTGACCAAGGTATAGTTAGTTCTACCTTGAAAAAGAGGACAAGTAGATAGATGTTTAAACTCTATAACTCTGTGATATTTGTTGGACCTCACCTGTGTCCTATACCTGCTCTTCAATTTATAGAGTTGCTGGAGGGCACTGAGAGATTGTCAAGAAGCAGGTTTGTACATGAACAGGAACTTGGACCCTTGGCCTTCCTGCATCCTTGAGGCCAGTTCTCTGCCCACTATACTACACTGTCTCTGGATTGTGTGATAACTGGCAGAATTATAGTACCCATAATTATCTGTTCAAATATAATGCACATGTATTATAGGAGAAGATTGTTAGAAGAGAAGATCTGAACCATGCTAAGTTTTGAAAATAAACTTGTTACCACTTTTTAGTACCTTTGATAAAAAAATAATTTATTGTCAGTCTGGAATTTTTCTTGAGTTCTATGTGATTCTTTGTAATAATCAAATACCACTTGTGGATGATGGCTGTTTTACCTAGAAAATGTTGTATATAGGTCTTACGCATTAGAGTTGGTAAGCAAATTACCCACATTACTTTAATTGGCACTGGCAAATATCTTAAAACATTCTTTATCTGGAATATTTGTTTTTTCTGCTTAGGCAATTTGTTTTCAAGAAAGAAAAAAGCAGAAAAGGCTACTGAAAAGCATTCCCAGTAATGTGGAAAGTGATTTTAAAAAATTATAAGTGCTTCCATATATGGAACAGATAATGAGATTTGTCCACAGTAGTTTCACAATGATATCAATGGGAGTTTTAGCCAAAGCTTTAAGTTAGTGTTAGTGTCTGGGGAGCTCACTAGAAATATTTATGAGTACTCCAAATTCTCCTTAAATTCTCCAGAAAGTTGGCTAAATACAACTTCTCATTAGTGGCATTTAGAAAATTCACAAAAACTATTTTAAATGTGGTGATAAATCACCATAATGATAATATTTTTAGAAGGCATACTTTTGCTTTCCTTGCTAATCCTACTAACTTGGTGTATCTGATACTCTCTGGTAGGAATGTAGAAACCAATTCATGTGGTAGAGATGCAAATAAGGGATAGCCGAGAAGTCATTTGGAGTTACCGTGTTGATAGACAAAAGTGCTTGACATAGTTGTCTCTGTAGCAGAAAATGCACACCAGAGGAAGTTGCTATCTTTATATCTCAGAGACTAACATTGTTCCCCAGTCGGCTACACAATACACTTGTCAGAACAGTTGTTAGATAGTTATGCTACTCACTATGCTATCTGGTACATTCACCCCCACCATCACCACAACACACAGCCAGGGCAATCTTTGAGTAGTTATTAATCATGGTGGAACTTTTGGAATTGAGAATTGCTAGCTCATTGACATGGAAACCTATAATTACAGCTCTAGCCAATTGTTCTTTTTAAACATTGTGACTTGTTTAATTTCTCAGCCTGAGGCTGTGTCTATACAAAGTCAGCAGTTATTTATTTAATTTAATTAATTCAGGTAAAATGGAGTGGGGAGGGGGAGACCTGAATTGCCTGCTCTGGACCTCTGGCCTGAATTAACCACATATTTGGCAACTTTTTTTTTCATTTTGTTCTGTGTAGACAGCTCGAGTTTGTTATAATAAGATTAACAAAAGGATAAATCACTATATGAAACTTAATTAAAAGGGGGAAAATGACCGAGACAATCCTGAGGGCCAGTGCAAAGTATATCTACAGGCTGCTTTCTCAATTGTCCCTTCATAGCCCTTTCTTTGAGTTTTCTTTGCACCCTGGTACAGTAAGCCTGGAGTAGTCTGAAGTACATTAAATAAACTACATAAAAATAAAAAGTGATGCCCTGGGAGGTCATGGTCATAATTTGTTGCATTGTTAGGAGAATAAAAATTTAAATATCTCTCCCAGCACCAGCAAAAGCAACAGTTAAGACTGGAAGATTAAATTCTTACTGACAGCCCTTTAAAACACAGTCAGCTTGGCATGGTCTTAAATAACCTCCACTGACAACTATCGAAGTAGGAAAATCAGACCTACAGTGCTAATTGCCCTCCTCCTAATATCAGGCAGCTGCTTTACAAAGGAATGCAAATTAATTGGTTTGGGGAAATTAATAATAGATGAAATCAGGCCTCATTAGGCCATACTTATTTCATCAGAATGTCAGAGTAAATGGTAACTGGCCCTACCACCATTTAACATGATCTTGGTTTCTTTTAGCCAACACAAAATAGAGTATTGTTATGTTAACTGAATATTCTGCCCAAATAAAACAAGGAGTGGGATGGGGGAGATGTTTTTAATGAATCAATGTGAAAAACACTGATCTCTCCATCGTTTCATAGTGCCTTTTTTGTGATTATGTTCAAAATGAAAAGATTTCAAATATTTTGGTACTTAGTGAACTGATAAAGGTACTTGAGACTGTCTTGTTTTGTTAATAATTAACTTTCTCTTTTCAAATTCAGTTCATCTGCGTGGGTTAGATCTGTGCTTTGCCACAGTGTGTACCTTAACTGAACTTGAAGTGAAACTCAAACTTACATTTTATGTGAAATCCTGAGTTCAGATAATTTTCATAAACACAAGTGGCAGATTTTAACTGGCAGCAGCTATCACTGTGCACTTGAATGCTAACTTGGTAATCAGTGTAAAACATTTTTGAGTCTTCTTTTGAACGGGCCTTGATCTGTCAAAAGGGCACATAATATCTGCACAGGGCTTCCAACCAAGTTTAGGACAACTTGGCTTCACTTAAAAAAGAAAAAAATGATATTTAGTTTTACACATCAAAAGCTTGAATAATTAATTTTTTTCAAAGATTCTCAGGAGGACATACAGTTGTAGTGTTTATATACGTATAAATATTCAGTTAAACATATACTATATATGTTGTATATATATATTAAAGTACACTTGAACAAAATACACAGTTTATGCAAGAGATTTAATTTGCTCTTTTTTATAAGAAGGAAGTAATTTGTTTTAGGTAAACTTCCCCTGCCTTTAAAAAAAACCAGACATTGCGATTTATAAACAAAAAACTAAAACGAACAAAAATCTTTAAATCAACATACTTAATCTACATTTATCTATATATTTAAAACTACATCTACTCCTTGTGTGAGGTATTCTTTCTGCTACTTCTGCTGCATGCTCAAGTTGTCACAGCCATTTACTCTGGCTAGCTGAACTTGTCTCTTCTGCTTGCTTGCAACTAAATTTTTCACAACAAATTGTGCAAATATACCACTGCAAACAATGCTTGCTGCATAGATCAACTATTACATTTCCTCTGACATTCATAGTTAGAAGGGTGGAGTTGCATTCGACAGGCAGATTCTGGCTTGAAAGGGTTAAACTTTTTTGCTCCTAACACACACACACACACACACACACACACACACACACACACACACACACACACACGATAATAGTAATAATAAATACTACTAATAAAAAGCCTGCAACAAGATATAAAATGTAGTACCTGCAACGTGCTGAAATCTCTCCAGTCTCCGCCCTTTCAGTAATTTAGTTTCACACTGGCACCACTTCTGTACCAAATGCTTCTTCCTCCCCCAAAAATGTGTGTCAGCACAAGCCCGGACGAAACTCCAAATCCAGGAAAATAAAATTAACCGTGCAGATCAAAGGCAGACGAGCACGGAGACCAAATGCCTGTAATCTGATCAGTGATCAGATGCCATTGCATCAAAGGCAGTGCTAAGTTGTTTTGGGTTTTTTTCTTTTTAAATATATGTTAAAAAGAAAATTCTCTTTTCAGCAGGTAGTTACCTCCCCGCCTTCTGGTCCTTAAGTGGCTTTGTTAAGTGTTGCTCACTTTGGCTTCTCCCCTCGTTTCTGGGCCGGGAGAATGAGGAGGATTCCTCCCTGGCTCCCTCGAGTTGAGTGGCTGGATCTGTAGCTTTTTCAGTTCCCAAGCTGTGTTGTGGATTGTGTGTTGGGAGTTTTTCCTAGTGCCAGCGGGTTGTGCTTTATCCCTTTCATCTAGGCGAACTGCAGATCCCATGACATCATTCAACGCTGTGGGACTGGTAGGAGAGCTATAATTCAGACTGTGGGGGAATACTGCGAGAGAGAGAGAGACAGAGAGAGAGAGAGAGAGAGAGAGAGAGAGAGAGAGAGAGAGAGAGAGAGAGGAACAAGGGTTTGCAAGATTTCTAATCAGGTTAGTCCATTGTAACCAGCACAGGGCTCATTTCAAAGTTCCTGTTATCTGCTTCCTAGGGAAAAGGGAGAGAGAATACAGCCAAAGCTTTTTTGTATGATGAGCTCCCTGATAAGTGCCAAATAAGAGCATTTAAGACCTTATCTTTGACAAAAATCACCATTCCCACAAAGACTAGGGTATCCAACGTTCAGAACAATTTAATATAGCTGCCAAGCAATTATGAAACATGCCTCCAAATCGCCAGATGGACTGAGTGAATGGCAGCAATAGCAACCCAACTGAATGAGAAAGAGATCTCTAAGAATTCAAGCAAATTATCCTCTTTTTGAAAATCAGAATGGAAGAAACCCATTATCAATTAGAGAATGGCATTCCAAAATTAAAATGGGGCAGTCTGAAGAAGTAATTAAATCAGCAGACAACAGTCTCTTGAATTCTGTTCTCAGATCTGTCACCACCAACTCACTGGGTGACCTTTGGCTTGGACTCAAGCTTGTCTTTGCCTTAGTTTCTGATTTTGTAAATTAAATCTAGTAATATCTCCTTAGGCTCAGTGTTATTAGGCTTAATTCATTAATACTTGTTAAGTATTTTAGGATTTTCACATGATATGTAAAGAGAGAGTACTTTCATGTTCAATGATGGTCCAAAAACATGTTTTAATTGGTCTTTCTGGGGCAATGTTGCAGCCACACATAGGTAAAAAATAAAGTTGTTGAGTCATGTTGGACTCTTCTTGGCAAAGGTACTGGAGTGGTTTGCCATTACTTTCTGCAGATCACTTTGCAGATGAGGAAAGGAAGGTAAATGGGGTTAAGTGACTTGCCCAGGGTCACACAGCTAGTTAAGTGTCTGAGGCTGCTGTCCCACCTAGCTGCCCATTATTTAATGCATTTTATTTAAATGCAATTTATTTAATGCTTTAAAGTTTGCAAAGCACTTTGCAAATATTTCATTTTTTCCTTACGACTGCTCTAAGTGGTAGATGCTATAATTATTCCCAGTTTTATAGATGAGGAAACTGAGGCAGGCAGAGTGTTAAATGACTTGCCCAGACACAGCTAAAAATAGTCTGAGGCAGGATTTGAGCACAAATTTTCTGAGGACTGGTCTTTCTATCTACTGCACCACCTAGCTGGACAGTTCTCCTAAACTGCACCTAGAATTTTATAATCAGAGACCTTCAATACCATACTTTAGTCCAATTCTTCACTGCCAATCTTGAATGAGTATATAAAATTGCACATTAAATTTTTCCCCTTTTGTTTATTTCTTATAATCTATGAACAAAAACTCATGATGGCCTAATTTGACTTCTTTTTGTGGTCAAATATGAAGTAAGATAATGTGGTATTGCAGAGAATCTAATTTTTATATGGCCATGTTTTCTTTTATAACACAGTACCAGGCCACAGCAAATTGTGGTTCCAAGATCATAGGGTCATAGATTGAGAGTTGTAAGGGACCCGACAGGTCATCTAGTTCAACTCTCTTATTTGACCAGTGAGGAATTGGAGAGCAAGAGAGGTGACTTGTCTGAGGTCTCTCTCTCTCTCTTTTTTAATCATGGAAGGAAGGGAAATTATTTTGGTTTGCAAAAGAAAAAAATTCCAACTTTAAAAAATTCATTAATGATTTTTGTGCAAAACTGAAAGGGAAAAGCAGAATTTGATTCTTTCCTCTTTGACAGCAAGAACTGTCTTTTGCCTTTCCTAGCATCTTCAGGGTTTGCCACAGTGCTTGGCACATAGTAAGTGCTGAATAAGTGTTTATTGACTGACTGCCTTTCCTCCCTCATAGACTAGCTTTTTTCTTCATAGAATCTAGAAATGAAACAGATCTAGGTAAATCTTCTCTTTTACAAATGAGGAAACTGAGGTCCAGACAAGTAAGGTGACTTGCCTAATGTCACACGGGTGATAAGCAGTAGAACTGGAATTCAAACTCAGGTCAACTGTCCCTAAACACTCTTACTTCTCCTTACAAGGCGCCCCTTTCATTGTGTGATACTTTTAGAAGATGGAGTTTTCAACAAGACAATGTTCCAAATTTGCATAGCTTTAAATGAAATTCTTTTCTTTTTTTAATTGCTGATATACTTGATTTTTACAGCGATGCCATTTCCAAATCTATCACTCCTCCTCTCTTCCCTGGATAGCCATCCCTTATAAGGACAAAAAAAAAAAACAAATTTAAAGAGAGAAAAAAACCATTTCAGAAGAACTAACCCTGATTCTTCACCTCTATAAAAAAGGGAAGGAGGTACATTTTCTTTTCGAATTTTCAAGACTATGTTTGAGCAATATGATAAAAAAGAGGTGAGTTTCTTTGTTGTTGTTATTGTTTCCCTTTTTGCTATCGTAGTCACTGTGTATGTTGTTTTCCTGGTTCTACTTGCTTCATTTTGTAATTGGTTCATACACATCTTCCCATACTTTTCTGTGTTTTTCATTGTTTTCTTATGGAGCAGTAACATTTTTTAATAAATGGGCATCTACTTTGTTTCCAATTCATTGCTTCTACCCAAAAAAAGAGTAATGTTATAAGTATTTCGGTGCATGCAAAATCTTTCTTTCATCTTCTGAGGCTGTGTGTCTACAAGTAGATGAACTCAGGATTCCTGAGGTTCCACCAAGAACATTTAGCACCCTCAGAGCAGTCTTTTGCAAACAGGGACCCAAATGAAACCTAGACATAGGATGCTCCATCTGTACACACACACACACACACACTCACACATACACGCACACACACACAAACAGTAAAAAGGAGATAGAAGTATTTCAAGATATAGTGAGAAGCCCAGTATTATCTGTAATGTAAGAATTTATTTTCAAAGCAATTTGAAAAGCTAGCTAGCCTTTCCATGTATTCTTGGAGTCACTTTTCATGTATGATGATGGTTTGATGGCTAAATCCACCTGCCATTGGTGACCTAATGCACCTTGCAACCAGTGACAAACGTTTGCAAGATATTGGTAAAGTTTAGATCTATAACCTGTTGGCACAAAATTGAGTGAAATTAAGTCTATTTTACATATGCAGGGATTGAGTTTATGCTGGTCTCATCAGTACCACAGTCCAAGTCAACTGAGCACACCCATTGTTGGGATGCTGCTGGTCTCATTGTTATTTTTGATTGATGCATTGCAGTAAAGACCTGCATAAAAACTTGCCCCAAAGTACCTTAGATAAGCTAAATTCTGTTGGATAGTATAGTGACAGGAACAACTTAAATACAGAGTATAAAAAAGTTCTCTCCTTTAAAAATTGAGATAAAGTCTCAAATTGATTGTTTTTAATTCTCCTTTGTCATATAAAATTAACTTCTTTTTCTCCCTTCAGTAAGTTGTGCTTTGGTTGCTGTGCCTCCACTTTCTGTGCTAATTTCTCTTCAGTATCTGGAACACACTTCTGCCACTTCTATACTTTAATATGTTATAGGTCATGTGAATTATGATGACAATGAATTATTGGTTCAGGTTGTACAAGTTGTTTTGGTATTGAGTTTCATTGTTCATTAAGCTCACTGTGTCAACACGTGAATAATATGAGGTTCTATTTTCTCTTTACTAAGGATGTTTTATGGATTCCATGACAAAATACTTGTGTAATAGGAGACTGCCACATGCACAAAGTACATCGTGTCAGCTGATGCAATTTCCCCACGGGGAAGAAGCTGGAGAGCTTGCTTCAAAGGGAGTTATATGTATGCTGAAGTACCTTGGAAAGATAGTGGAGCATGTGGAGATATTCTGTAACTGACTTTGGTTGGAGAACCCTGCAGTGAATATGAAGCTCTTTGATCGGCTGTGGAGACATTCAAAAAGGCCTGAGTCAATCTTGGCTTGGTGTCTTTGACATTTTGTTTGGCTCCTCCATCTTAGTGGATATTTTTGATTCCTTCACTCATGGCATTCAGTGAAGGATGATGCTGTAAGGGAAGAGGCCTCAGGATTTCTCCTTCTGAGGCCAATTAGCCTTGTGAATATAGGCTTGGGTTCTTGGTTGGCCTCAGAATTTGTTCTTTTCCATTTTAGGTGAAAGGAGAATCAGTTATGCAAGCATTTCCACTTTGATGTCCCAAGGATCAGGGGAGTAACTTTGCAACCCAGCATAGTGGTAGCTGATACAAAGACTCTGGCGATGCCATATTTTGATGTGAACTCAGTGGGACCAATGTTATACAGAAACTGATCACTTCCCCCCCCCCAAATCATCGAGAGATGAAGACAGTATGCTTGAGGTAATAGGAAGAAATATTTATACTTCTGTTATTGCTATATCTCCAAAGTAAATTTTCCTTTATAAAGACTAATTTAAAAAGACTGATTGATATTAATGTGTTAAATGGAGCTGGGGTGCTACCTATGGGCACCTAATAGTCAGTAGAACATAGCCAATGGGGGCTAAAGCCAATGGAAGTAAAGATACCACAAAACCCTCTGTGTACCCTAGAATCCCAAAAGGGACTTATAGCTTGCCTGGCTACATAGGGAAGAGGATAGTCATATCAGAGAGAACTTGCTATACTTGCAGTAGTTATTTTTAAACTTGCTACACTGTTCAAACATTTTCTATGAGATTAGAAGGACATTAGAGTGACTATCAGAATTTTATTAGGGAAGTCAAACTTGCATATACAATTCATAGGATCATAGATTTGGAACTGAAAGGAGACTTAAAGGCCTTCTAGAGAGACCAAACTCTCAACTTAGAGATAAGGAAACTGAGAAACAAAGAGGCTAGGTGCCTTGGAGACCTAAAGTCCTATCACTTTGCACTAACAACAATGAAATTTTACTTACTAAACAACTCAATGAGAAGCAGATTTTGAAGAATATATACATGATAAGCTTTCCAAAATTC